CTAAAATACTATATATATATACACATATTTAATAATATTATACTTATACATTATAATCTTATTAAGTTTAAAACAATATTTTTATTTAAGAACAAATATTATACTTTATATTATACTCTATAATTAGTATTTAAATATTAAACTTAATAGAATATTTAGTTTTATATTATAATTAGTTATTATATATAAAAGAGTATATATTTAGAGACATTCTATTAATACAAGTATAAAGTACTATATTTATAGAAACTAGTTTATTAGAAAAATTAAGAATATAGTAAAGGAATTTTAAAATATATTTTTATTATTTATTATTATATTATTATTTTATAAAAGTAGAGAAACATATAAGGTTAATTAAAAGTTATAATAATAATTTATTCTATTAAGGAAGAAGGTTATAACTTTATTAATTAGGGATTTACTTTTATACTTTTTAAAAATATAAGAGAAAAGAATATTTACAATTATTATACTATTAGAATTTCTACTTTTATACATATTAATTTATATTATATATTTTAGAATACTTAAAAGTTAAAACACTATATTTCTCTAAAAACTTTACTAATTCTCTTTAAAAAGTATTATATTAATAGTAACAATTAAGAGAAAACTTTTTTACTAATTAACTATATAATAATATTAATTACTTTTAATTCTATTAATATTTTATTTAGTTTTATATAGTTTAGAATTATACTATTTACTATTTAAAATGTTACTACTATCTTAATACTTACTAGATTAACTTTGAATCATTTTAGAAAAGTAGTATTATATTATAATAATGTTTTCTATATATATAAGTAAAGTATTTTATTAGTTACTTATTACTAATTGTTACTTTAAGTAAGTTTTCTATCTTTTCTACTAATTTTTAGTATTTAAAACTAAATACTAAAGAGTAAGTATAAGAATTTAATTTACTAGTTTGTATTTTATTATTACTATATTACTAATTATATTAAATTATTATATAGTAGAATTTATAAGTATATATATTCTTATTATAGTTAGTTACACTTTCTTCTTATATATTTATATATATATTACTCTTTATAAAAATAGTATTAATTACTAAATAAAGGGAATTCTTTTCTTTTAACTTCTTACTTAAGTATTAAGTTATTCTAGTTAGTAGTTAAGTAAACTAAGAGTAATTAGAATTCTCTTATAAGAAATAGTAAGTTTTCTTATAATATAATAGTTTCTTAGTTTTTTAACTCTTTTTATATTCTTACTTATTCTCTTAATATAAATTCTAACTAGTAGCTTTAAGAATATAGTTAGATTAAAAGTTATAAGTTTATATTTATAGTTTAAAAATACTATTAACTTAAAAAACACATTTTCTTTAATAGTAGAGTAATAATAAGTAGTTTTAATCTAATATTAATAATAGTATAGAGAGGACTTAAAGACTTAGTAAGAAGACTTAAGTTACAATTATTTTATATAAAAGAAATATAAAATATATATTAGGAAAATATTATATTTCTTATAATTTTTTATAAACTTTATAAAGTAATATATATATTATATATATATTATAAAGTAATTATAAGGTTTGTAAATAAACTATAATGTTTAAATAAAATATATTAATATATATAAAAACTATATAAGTACTAAGAATAAATAAAATCTATTATATGTATTATACTAACTTTATATAATAACTTAAAGTATTATACTTGTATTATATTTAAATTATAATTTTTAAAAAAAAGTTATATTTATAATATAATAATGTAATAATAACTATTATTATCTTATAATTTATATAAAAAGTATATTAATATATATAATAGTGTAAGAGTACTTATTATACTTTATTATTTTAATAAAAGTATATTATAAGTATATAATATATACATTATACTTAGATTATCTTAAGTAACTAATACTTAACTTACTTATATAATTAATAGTTAAAGATTAAGAGTATATAATAATACACTTATATATACTACTCTTTCTCTTTAACCTTTACTATCTCTTTAAGTCTAACTCTCTATTATACTATTATATTGTTACTTTTGTTTTCTTTAAGTTTTTAGTCTTTCTCCTCTTACATGTGTTCTACTAACTGTTACTTTACCTTTAACAATGTTAACAATAAACATTACTATACTTGTCTCTCTAATTAACTATTATAATACTTATACTAAGTTTTAGATTCTATACAACTAATTATACTATACTCTCTTAGTCTTAATAATGTTAAATATAAGTAACTAATTTACTTTATAATAACTTATATAATAAGTACTTATTCCTCTCCTCTTAACTTTTTATCTCTCTTCTATCTTTTTTACTCTTTACTCTACCTCTTACTCTGTCTCTCCTTTATTATCCTCCTTTTTTTTATATTCCTCTTCCTTTTTACATTTATATTTGTACTTTTATATTATTAACTAATACTAAACAACTTCTTTAATAATTCTATATATTTACATTCTTCTTTCTACTCTATAGTATAAGTAACAATTAACAAGTATATATAAGTATACTTATAATAATGTTTATGTTAGATTACTTTTAAAGTACAATTCTCTCTCTAACCTTATATATACTCTCCTTCTCTACTTACTATTCTATACTTAATATTCTTAATAGACTCATACTATATACTTTTACATTCTCTAATACTGTTTATAATACTATTTTAAATAATAAAAGTAGTAACTACTACTTACTCTTTCTAAACTAAGTCTGTTTACACTTTACACATTATCTTCTCTCTTTAAGTTAGAACATTCTAGAGATACACTTTATAATTAATGACTTAGTTTACTACACCTTCTATTAAACACTATAAATAAATAATAAAGTATATACATATAAACATAATTTTGTTTATAGTCTGAACTTACTTGTTTAACACTCTAAATCTTAATCTGTATATACTAATTATACTTACTATATACTGTTATAGTGTGTTTATCTTTTCTTACTTGTTACTATTTACTAATTTAAACTTGTCTTATAGGTACAGTTCTTCCTTTAGGTTAGAACACTCTAAGAATATACTCCTTAGTTAACAGTTTAGTTTACTACACTTCTAATTGTAAGATATAGTTAGAGTATATAGTATATATATACAAATGTAGCTTTGTTTACAACTATTCCTATAATACTACCTCTCTCTAATATTATACATGTTTTACTTCTCTATTTATTCTATACTTGACATTAACTTTAACAAGTCCACCCTACTTCTATTTACATTTCTTGTTACTATTTATAATACTATATTAACTAGATACAGTAGTCTACTACTTACTTTACTTAAGATAAGTTAAATCTATTAATACTTTCTACTTTACTCTCATCCTTTAAGCTAGAATGTTCTAGAAATATATCTTTATAGTTATTTGTAATAACTCAGTTTACTATACCTCTAATTATAAGATATAGTTAGAGTATACAATGTATACTTATAAACACAGCTTTACTTACTACTCAAATCAGTTCATTTAATACTTTAAATATTAACCCTAGTGTACTACTTATACTTACTATATACTGTTACAGTATATTCATCTCTTTACTTTAAGTACTTGTACTTACTAACAACTCCTTACCCTCTTAACAAGTCAACCTCTAAATCTGCCTTATAAGTACAATCTTAACCTTTACAATCTGTACAATCTTACAATCTATACACAATCCAACTTGTAGAGACTGAGAGACAACTAAGGTATAGTAACAAAGACTACCTTAAACAGTTAAGAAACACATTCATTCTCTATTGTTAATACACTTACTATCTATTGTCAGATTATTTTCCTAATTGTTATAGATAATAATGTATTTATACAATATTTCAATATAATTATAAACTGTTATTTTAATAACAAATAGATATAAGGAAAATTTTATCTTATACATTTTATATTTATATGTTTTCCTTGTTAAAATAACAAGTATTATAATACTTAGCCATTTTACAAGGTACACTTTAAGTACTTATATATCTTAGTAAGTACTACAATTCTTATTATTCTTGACCAGAAAGTCAAGACTTTTTAATAGCTTTCTTAGCTTCTTATTACCTTTCTAAAACCCTTAGGTACACAATAAGCTCTTATACATAATGTAGAAAATATATATAATTTATATACATATAAGCTAATACAAAGTTTGAGATATTTTCCTGATACAAGTACTAGAACATAGTCAGAACTTATAGAATAGGTAGGAAGAGAGAGTAAGACAAGTATAGAGTATATAGAGTAAGTCTAAAAGTACAGGACTATCTAGAGTAGACAAGATTAAGACTACAGAACTAGTCTGATCTTATACATGTATATATACTAAACTATACAAAAGTACTCAGAGAATGATGAGCTATAAAGAATAAAGAATGAGAGGGTCAAAGATAAGTGAACAAAGAATGAAGGAGTGAACAAAGGGTAAGAGACATTAGAATAAACAAAGAATGAAGGGGTAAACAAAGGAAAAGAGTAATAAGGTAGAGAGGGGTAGTAGTAGGAGTTATAGAGAGAATCAGTCTACATATAGTGTATATACAGTACACCTGAGAGACAGAAGTCCTGAGTTCCAGTACAGAAGGGTGTAGAACTAGTAGAACTGAGGGTGCAAGAGTAGCAAACCATAACAAATAGTACAATTCATGTACTTACAATACTAAGATATAAATTCTATATACTTGTATTAACTTTCTTAAGCTTATAAGAGTTATTATCTCTTAATTATAGATAGTTCCTTTTAACTGACACGTATTTTATACAAACAACCATATCCCAGAAAGAACAATGCTTATACAAATAAGAGTACTTCTAATATCCGTATTTAGTGAACAACAATGTGGTGAGAGGGCACTACTTCGCTGTTGATGCGACGCTGAGGTCACACTAGAGGGTATGGGAGGTTCACTTGCTTGCACTATGCCGTCGGCATTCGTCGTTACTGTACCTGTAGTATGAGTGCCTGTCGGGGCTGCGATCGTAGTTTCTGTATACAAGTAATGTTTATTGACGTGCAATATACTGAATAACGAGCATACCAGGGAAACCTCCAACACTTGCTGCAGATTGCACGGCTCCAGCAAGGCGGAGCTCGGTGTCTTCGGGGACTGTTGACAGAATTCCAATGCGTGGCGGATCGAACGAAGGATGTGTCAAATTGCCATAGTAGAAGCTTGCAAGAACCCTGCAAGTTATGCGGTCAGCCGTTAAAAATACATCATACAAAAACACCACACACCCACGAACGAACGGTTCCCCAAGGCTCCAGCTATACAAATAGTTTCCTACTTTCGGAGGGTCAGTCGGTGCAATATTCGGCACACACCAATATGCATCCCGATCGCCCATAGGTCTCCCAAAGTCTCTCGGATCAACAGGAAACTGCCTTCCGGAGAACTCAAAAGAGAGAAGATGCGCTTCAGCACAGGGATACGCATACGCAAATGAGTCGAAATTCTCCGTGAAATCAGAATACTCTTGTTCCGAATAATCGGACCCGGCCACCTGAGACGAACGCAAGAACGGTGCGGTAGAGGACGAGCTATTTGCAAGGATCGACAGAATGGCAAGAATAATATCTGCAGGACCTCGGATGAGCGAATTGCCCGTATCGACGAGCGCACTTTGCCCCACATCCTCAAGCCTAATGTCACCAAGCGTACTTCCATTTAAACGCACGCCATCAAAATAAATAGCATCGAGCGGGACGTCCCACGCGTATGGGTACACTTCGTCTGGCGCTTGTGGAACAAAAACACCATTTTGTTCCTTTTTATATCGCCTTACAGGCATCCAAGTCAACGATGCATTATCGACGCCATCTGGAAGGCCACCAAGGGTAAACATTCCTACATTACCGCTCAGCGACGGGATCGTTCGTTGAAGTGTAACGGAAAACTGTGGAGAAGCGAGAAATCCCGAAGAATCCTCGGTTCCACCGTCGTGATTGGATGAATTATTGAGAATGAGTCTCGAGACGAATGGTCCATAAGTATTGAACGACGACAAAATGTCGACTTGACCAGATATTGAGCTACCTCCAGTAATATCCTCGTCTGCAGCTCGATTCTGCAGTGGTGGGAAGAGAGGGGCATTCGGAAACGTCTGTGGGCGGGACAAGGTGTCCACAATTGGTAATGTTCGCCGCATGTTTGCTGGTGAGCCCGAGTTAATAGCTGCCATCGTGTATAACTCGTTCCACAGTAGACTTCATAGAAAAGAATCGTAAGCGTACAAAAGATCCTTCAAAGGTTCCAAGATACCTATTAACAGGAAATCCAAGACCACATATCCCGACAGAACCTGTCTCCTGGATAGTCGTATTCGTATCATTTATCGCCGCAAAGAATTGTTTCTAGCCATCCATAAACTCGCCAATTAAGGAAGTCGCGCAAGGAATAGTAGCAAAGAACACACACGTCGATAATAAACCCGGCCACTCCAACCTTTTCTGCGCCAATTACGCCAGTAGCATGCGTTCCTGTCCGCGAATCTCCGTATCGTAGTTTCACATCAGCGACTCGTTCGAGGCCCTGGGAGGGATAAAGGGGGAAGGGGGACACAGAGCATGTTGTACAGCTGTCAGAAAGGATCCAGAGATCCGCTGAACCTGTATCTATCAATCGAAGTACGTCTAGTCATTCTTTAAAACGGGGGAAGGGCGAGGAGCGCACCTAGGACCAGTGGCACAGATATATTACCGACTTGCACGAGAACATTATAAGTTCTATATATAAGAAGCCTTAACACACTTCAAAAAAGGAGAGGCAACAGAACTCGTACATGTCAAGTGCGTCACCAAGACCAATACTGCTTTTATCATGTGCGCCAGCCTCCACTTCATCCCTGCGTCTCGGTCTCGGTCGCTCAATGCGCTCAAGGTCAAGGTGAACGACACGTCCCGTTCTTCGAATCAAAGCTTCCCTTTGTTGTAGTAGTAAACGAGGAGAAGAAACTGGGGGTGCCAAGGCTGCATCGGCGCTTGGAGATGCTGTGGCAGCAAAATTTGCAAGTGCGTAAAAGCAAGCCAAGAAGTATAAAATCATCACTGGCGCCGTAGCTATCGTATCAAACGATGCTTGAGGAGAAAGAGAGAGACGGGAAAAGAGAGGCAGAGAGGGACATAAATTAAGGGTGAAATGGGAAGCCAAGAGCGGACCAAGGCGCTAAGACGGGGGGACAGGGACAACTAATCACTAACCAGTTACTACTACCAGTGCCCAGTCCGAACCCGTACTTTCGGGACTTGCGCGGCATGACATACTCTCGGAACTCGGAACACAGCTGTACCTCCGGCCTTGTATCCCTTTCCTGCTCATATGTTCACACAAAACGACCTTCGGAGATTATAACTCTTCAAACATCATTTTCTCGGGTTTGACTTGGTAACAATATAATCGCACCAATTGATCAAACAAAATAAAACAAAGAAAAAGAAATTAACAAGACTGCGTTTCTCTTTTACTACTGCCACTTACACTCCTCTTGCCCCCCGCCTCCTTCGCTGTGCTCGACCACAGACTCGTAAATTAGGTGAGCTCGTCTTCGGGTCAGGATGTGCACTACCGCCAAGCAAAACAAACAAACAGAACCACAGACTGGGTTTCTCCTTACACTACTGCTGTTTACATTCCTCTTGTCCCTCACCCTTCTTCCCAGCACCGCGTCCCTTCGTTGCGTGCCGATGTCTTCCAGGCCCAGGTACATCCTCCACATCACTCTCATCGTCTTCAAAATCATCGTCCGAGTATTCGTCCGAATCAAGATCGTCCGCGTCGAACTCCAGTGCCTTCCCTGTAAAGTAATCGACAGCCCTCGGGATGATGCGGTCGCGGATATCTTCACCAATCTGTACATATATGAGCACAACAAAGAGGGTTGTACAATAATATGCTAATAGTACTGTACCTGATAGTCGAGTTCCAATCGAGACTCTATTTCTGCTCGAGCATCAAATGCATCTTCGTCGTCCTCGTCAATCTCTTCTTCCGGAGGCGGCGAGGGTGGACTAAAGAAGTTGAAAAAGGATTCAACAGGATGTGCCTTGCGCACAAGACGAACCCTGTTCGTATCTACAAACCTCGGATCAGAATACAACACTAATTAACGACGCTAGAGCGAAAGAATCTCACTTTTATTTCGCTGTTTCTTGACCTCAAATTCCTTGGTCAAATCCTTATCCTCTTTCCACCTAATGGGCGTGCCAACAGCCCGATCATACACAAAGTCCCCAGAGTAGTCGATTTCACTCTTGTAAAAGTACGTCTTCTCCAATACCTCGTCCTCAAAATACTCATTCGGATCGAAGTAGAACTTCAATTTAAATCCCAATTCCTTCTCGCCATCAAGATACTCTAACCTCACGTCCCTCAAATTCTTCAACGCTCCCGCGTCACGATCCGTAATGAGTTCCGATATGCCAATATGATTCCTGAGTGCCGTAAGCCAAAACTCGGGAATAGGGGCAGAGGTTGCATCGCCTTCAGGCAGTGGCTCAGTTATAAACTCTTCTGCAAGTGGCTGCCCAGCAGCAACCTCCTCAGAAGTCGGAGCCGCAGAACCAGAAATGATAGCAGTGCGTCGTTCATACAGCGGCTTTGTCCGTTCAAGGTACTGCGGATCATCATCTCAGCCAAATCATGCAAAAAAGGACATGCGAGATATATGCTATGCGCAAACGAACCTTCTTTTCAAGAGCAAATACTTCTCGCTTGAATTCTTGCTGAAGTTCGGTTTGCTTTAGTTGTACGCCTAGTAATCCCATTAAACTCCGCTTGCCGTCGACGCTGAGGGACGCGACGGGGTCCTCATCTTCCAGCTCGTCGATTTCCTCTGATACGGTCTCTGGAATCGTCGGCCTCGAGAGATTTGTTGTGATAGGTGCATTTACCAAAGGTGTATTCTGTGGTGTTGGTGCTGTAGGGTCAACAGCATTGATCGGGACATTGGACGACATTGTAGACGAGGAGAAAGAGAGAGAGAGAGAGCAAGGTTAAGGGGGCGCAGTGGCCAATGGGTTGCGGGTCAAAATCTGACGCATACAAAAGCCACGTGACATGCTGACAGCACAAAAAATAAAATAAAAAAGCCGCATCCTTTTTTGCAGCAAAAACTTTTATCCTGGTATGAAACAACATATATAGTCTTACATATTCAATAATGATATATAGCTGTGGATGTGGTACAGATACAAATATTGGTTCTAGAAATACACGAGATCCTGTCCTACAGAGCTGTTGCGCGACAAATACGTCCTCGTTGACCAACCATGTGTTGAAAATCGGCCCCTTCTCAACCTCTAAACCCGGTCTAGAGACAGAATATCCGGCGAAGAGATCTTCGTAACAACAAATTTCCCTAGGTGAGCTACGTACCGCGAGGAACAACTTCCACAACAAGTCTCCCAACACACTCTCCATTCTCGCCCTCTGTGAAGATACCAACAACAATTTCACCTACATCCTTCGCACTCGGCGTACCCCAGAACTCGACCTCATAACGCACACGACGTTTCTTACCCGAACCAGACGTAGAAAGAGATGGTGTCGTGGTTGACACCGCATGGGCAAGGAATGGCGGTAGTTGCATTCCTCCGTACAATGAACGTGCGATCAGCTTGCGCTCCGGAGCAGAAGACGTCACCGGTGCCAACAGCGCAATCGGATATTTGAACGCAAACGCTTCACCCGTTCGTACAAGGATACGGCTCATCATAAGGCTCCCTCTACTGCCTTTGCTGCTCCGTTTCACACTCGACTCGACACTTTGCGAAGGAGACGGGTAAACATAACTTGATGCAGTCTGTGCCGGAGATAGCCCAACCTGAGCATGCGACATTGAGCGCGATGATCGCTTTGAGCTAGAGCGACTCGTCGCAGCTGCAGGCGATTGTCGAGAATGACTCGCAGCACGCGATGGGTCCAGATCGGCATTTTGGTCCCCAAAGGCACGGACATACCGTAACCCATCCGTCATTATGGCATCGGCGTCCGTATCTTGTTGTCCAGGCTTAAGACGCCCTGCATGCTCGGCAGGCACGACAGCGGCGACTTGGCTCACGCGGCGTGGCTCACGGGGACCAGCCGGACCAGCTATCGAGTTAAGTGTTGGCGTAGGGACAGGGACGCCTCTGGCGTTTGTAAATGGGACAAGACGTGGTTTAGCCATCTGACCACCTCCTCCAGCGTGTGCGCTATCCCGAGTGTAGTTGGATTGGGTATAACTATACGCAGACGATCGAGCGGAACGGAGCGACGTAGCTCGCGATGCAGTCACGATGACAGCTTCAGACAGGTCCGCTTCGTTGTCGCGTTGGTCGGATGATCGCGTAGCTTGGGTATCAGTACTACGATTCCTTGCATGTGATGGCTTTGGCACTGGCGGCACATGTGCGTGTGAAACGGATTTGGATCCACGAGCATGACCCGAACGCGCTGGTCCAAAATCGGCACGTTGGTGAGGAATACTGACTTTCCCTGTCTCGTTACTATGCCCAGTGGTCGAAGTTGGACTCGATCCTAGTCCACTACTAAGTCCGAGAGAAATACCATCGCCTAGGGGTGCCTCCAGAGAGTCTGGACCGTCTTCAGGGAAGCCATAGGAATGTCCAACAGGTGCCTCTTCAAGACCGGCAGCCGCACGCAATGCACGTAAGTTCTCCGTGCTCTCCTTAGTTAACATCAAAACAGGCCGAGATATTGCACTTTTACGTGTCGACGCATTCCGACTTCCGATAGAGAATTTACGAACGGCAGCCTTGACATTGCAGAAGAACGCTGCCTTTGTAGTGCGGTTAGGCGGTGGAGAGCCAGGAAGCAACGTTGGGGTATATCCAATACCTACTCCAGGATAAGACTTTGTTCGAAGTGTCTACACAATACTAAGATAAATATTATATCAAAATAACCGGTTACGCACTGGCTGAACCCCTGAGAACCCCAAACCGGTCTTTTCTGTCCACCCATATCCTTCCTCCACTTCAGGAACGGAAGACGCACTGCCCTTTTCATCATCCGAGTACGTATCCACTGCAGTATCCTGCACCCTGCAGTATTTCCTTACAAGAGCAAGAATACAAGCAAGCAAGACCAAAGCCGCTGCGCCGCCAAGTCCAATACTAAGGCCAAGGACAAGCGCGCGATGTCGTGCTAACGCGTCTCGAGCTGCGGCTTCCGAGTTTGGCTGCCGAAGCGAGATACGTAGCGCAGCATGTGAAGGAGTGTGTGTTGTATGGTCATAGGCCGAAAATTGAACATCGAAGTGCGAGGCGTCGGGTTTACTGGGGACTTGCCCTTTCAGTACATATTTTCCATCCTGTCCCGTCGCGAGGTTCAAGAACGACGCAGTAGAGCTGGCAGACACAGAGACGTTATGGCCTGAAAAGTAACTATCGGAGGATAAGTACGGGGATAGTGCGAAAGAAAAGGTTGTGCTTGGGCTCGCGAAGACTCCTGGTAGTGTCGTAGCATTAAAATAGGAGGGTACGATGTTGATAGTCGTATTCAATGAGAGTGAGTCGTTGAAAGTCGTAAGAGACATAGACACGGAGAAAGTGCCTTTGGGAGGTGCTGTACCAGTGAGCGCACGCGATCCACTGTCATAAGAGATCCAATGTACACTAGATGTATCAACGGAGAACATGGAGATATTGTCCGCTCGAATCGTCGAGTTGTCAACAGTCATGCCCTGCAGGAAGAAGTCATCTTGTCCCAGGTCAATCCGGAAGTCCTCACCTGCTGTCAAATAAATGACGGGTTCCGTTGAAATAACTATATCGTGGGATTCAATGAAAATATCAAAGGGTGCTCGTACTGCCGAATATCCTTCTTGATCGCTCGCGATGAGCACCAGCTCCACCTTTTCGCCTTCCTGCAACAGTGGAGTCCGAGCAACACCGTCGAAAGTAGCTGTTCTATTGTCAAATGAGAGCCACGAAGGAAGCCTCGAGCCATTTGCAAGCTGCGCATAATAAAACAGATCGAACTGATTCACAAACGTGGCAGGCTGGAAGCCGATAGAGAACGACCAGCGGAGCGGAACACGTAGCGCCGGTTTGTCATCCTGCAGGACAGAGTCCTTCTCCAAGAAGAAAACAGAGCTCATAGACGGGTTTGAACTGTTGAATTGATCCTTGAGCGCAATATTGATCCTTGGCGGCGGAAAGTGCGTTACGCATAGCGTGAATATATCAATCGCACTCCCTGCCTGGAGAGTGATGTTTATTGAACCTTCATCGCTCGCAGAAGGGGTACCAGAGAACGTCAAGTTCGAGAAGGAAAGCCAGCCAGGAAGATGAGAGGAGACCGTGACGTTAACCGAGCTATTGGTGGCAAAGGTTTCGGGAGATATCGCCCAAGAATAAGACTGGCCAACACGGGCGATGAGCGGGTACTGGTCGCGGACCGGGTATGCTGCACTGGACGTCGCAGACGCACGGGAGAGAAATAGAAGAAATATTAAGGAGAGGAAGCGGATAGAGTACATTATGATCAACAACACAGACAAGACAAGAAAAGAAAAGAAATGCTCAGACGCGTCGCGTCGCGTGCCGTCAGCCGCCATTCTGGTCACGTGCCCGCTCATACAGTCAATCGAACAATAATGCACTCAGCACTACTCTTCGTTTGAATACCTCCGGAGTCTCACGTACGCATTTGTGGGCGTTAAGGTTATACCAGCTTTCCACGATAAAATTCGTCTCTTGTCTGATTCCGACAGCTTTTCCGCTTTCATTCCCTCTTCCGGCGGCAAGATTTCGTATCCTCGTACAAAACAGGCAAGCAAGCATACGCTCTCCGTGATCGAGAATCGCTGGCCAAGACACCCTCGCGCTCCACTGGAGAAAGGCATGACTTGGTATGCCAATCGATCAATGCAAAAGAAATCAAAACCAGTGACAAACGAGTTGACTCACATGCATCTCTTGGCCATTTATAGTCCGCGATATCGATGAAACGCTCTGGCTTGAATAAATCAGCATCATTTCCCCAGTACAGAGCTGGATGTTAAGCATCATTCAGTTTCTTACCGAACCGAGGAGACATTAGACTAACGATTCATATGCAGTGCCCAAATGTCCAGACTAACAGCACTTCCCTTTGACACGCGTACGGCGAACTTGCGATCCTTGGTCTCATCACGATTAAATTGGATGTTTGTAAGTGCACCATCATAAGATGTAGTAGTCTCATGTGGGGTGTTGCTCGGCTCGAACCGAACCCCTTGAAGAACAGAATCCTGCTCAACGATCTTATTTATACGAGGTTCTGCCGGAAAACAACGTAAAGTCTCGCGGAAGACAGCTAGGGTGTACTCCTAGTTAAGGTCATTAGTCATTGTTTCTTAAAAAAAAAGGACGAGGAATAATCACAAGTTTTTCAAAGTCTCTTTTGCTGCTAGACGAAGCACAATCCTCAACTGTCGGCCAAACCCGCAGAACTTCTTTACGCAATTTCTTTTGTACATCAGGATTCAAAGCGAGCAGCAAAATGGCAAAGCTTAGAGTATGAGCGGACGTCTCTGTAATAAGATTGATTATTTTATGTCTATATTGTGCTTGGATGCTCACCATGTCCAGCTAACAAGAATACCTACAGAATTGTTTAGCGAATGAAAATCTGAATAGACGATGGAAAGTAAACGTTACAAATATATTGCTGAACAGCTCATCATCTGTCAACGTGCCCTTCGTACTCGCACCACCCAAAGAACGAGTCGCATCGTTCGCCTTCACAAGGCACCGAAGCAAATCGGCCCCTTCATCATTATCAGAACTCCGCGCTGCAGTAACAAGAACCTCCATATGACCCTTCAAACTCGCAAACGCATCTCGTGCTTCTTCCAATTGATTCGAAAGCCAAGGAATCCGAAATGGCAGCTCATATGCAAAGTTAGGTGTTAGAACTTTCACAAAAAGCCTTTTGATCGTTAGGTCCAGTGCAACATGGAAAGGCATGACCTTTTCTCGTGTGGAATTACATTGTTGTAATGCCTCCCTCCAGGATATGTGCTTGCCGAAACCAGCCGATGCAATGATTAGGAGTGTTGCCCTAATCATTTCTCCTTTAATATCCAAGCACTTCCCAACCGATATCTCGGGATCGCAATCGAGCTCCTCGAACCACTCGTGCATAACCCGTAATGTCTCTTCCCATGCAAGAGCATAGTTCGCTTCGTTGAAAGCAGGCCCGGCAACCGCAACGTGTCTCCGCCACTCGTCTCCGTCAGTGCTAACTACGTTGCGTCCATATATCTCAAGTACATCGTACTATCACGAGTTCCATCAGCTTCAGCTTCCAGAGTAGTAACTCGAAACAATTCATAAACGCACTACTTCTGTCTCTTTCCTAAAAGCATGCCGATCCGAGGTAACAGCCTTAATAGCCTCAGCATCGGCAAGCCAGAATGTCGGGGTACCATCCCAAACTATGAGACTGGACAGGATGGTACTTCCCTCCTTTGCATAAGCTATATTTTTTAAATCGAAAGCGAAAGCAAAAGTCAGTTTGTTCTAGATTAGGTACACGTGACTCACGAGAGAATTTCCCTCCGAAATGAGCCAACCAACCACGCGGAGGGAAATACGTAGCAAGTACTATCGCTAGAGTCTGAAAGGGGCGAATCCAGAGGCGATGCTTTCCCGGACACGAGCTGCATCATCACGAACATGATTTCATCAAAACGTGATAACTACGAAAACGATTGAACTTACTCCAACTTAGCCAGGCCATTCCGGTATCTTAAGTAAGTGTCCGCAAGCACTTTCGTTGTACCCACAATGACGAAGCCGGCTGCAAGGTCCTTGAGAGAAAGACAGACGCGGTCTGCCATGACGGTTATAGACATGCCGCACGGTCAGGGATTCAACTCTGCTGGAGGTATTTAGAAGCCATCAAAGCAGTCGCGCTTCTCGGCTGTTTCCCCGTCTCTTGCATCATGAACCTAATGATAATACAGTTCTATCCACTTTTATGCCTCCTTGTATACTCGGCTCTCAGTTATGTCCCCGAGCAGTATGCTAGCTGCCGACATCTCTTCTTTGGTCTACTAGTCAGTCAAGCATCAAAGGGCACCAGAAGAATGGTCTTCAAATATTCACTGCACACTTTTCACTGTTTTCAGCGCTAACTTCATGCCAATATTGTCCAGCACGAAGCAATCCTTCAATTTGCTGGCAGGGGAACTGTTGGCTACTGGAAGGATTAAGAACAAAACCTTCGTAATCCAACGGGTGTGAGATATCTATGGAGCGTATCAGGTTTCATGTGTAAAGCAGTAAGATCTCTTCGCGGCCGTTGCTTCGCACTGACAATCAACAGTATACATCTATGCATCTGATACGCCTCGGATGAGATGCTGCCGGCGATTCGGAGGTATATCATGATCCTGATGGAGCATCTTATTGCTATAGTATTGCTGATTTCATTTAGTATTGTTCGTCTCTATTAACAGTAACAATTGCTTTCTCATTGTTTCTATTCTGATTTCGCCATCGTGGAAGCACAAGCTGGAATACCATAGAAGCAAACAAGCCCCACAAGTTTTGTCCAGAACTTGCTTTGCAGTAGCTAGAACCAGAACCCTCAGTATCAGGAGCTTCTGATACACTATAGTACATCAGATATCATAGACACAGCGTTTTCATCACTGATTTTTAGATGTGAATGTCATAATACAACGTAGAATTCGTGTTTCTTTAAGTGCAGTAGCTAGAAACATTGGCAGCTGTTGCGAATTCCCTCTCCTTTGTCTATGTCCAGTCAGATACCGTCCAGTTTGCAACCCCTCCTGGGTGAAGTGGAGATTGAATTTACCTTTAGGTACCTTACCTGTGAGTAACCTCAACTTTACTTGGCTTGCATAGTGTTCTCTTACAATTTTCTGACACAAAACTGTATTGTATGAAGTGTCCGGATTAGCATGTCTCCTGTATGACATAATTTTAACAATCGAAACAGAACTACGGCTTGTATGGCGCACCAGGCTTACACTATCAAAATTTGCATACATCCTCTATCGTTACGTGTTATTCTGTTCTATTCTGCTAATGACTGTGTGTCAGTATGCTTGTCTACTCTTAATGTGATATGCTCCAATACTCAGGCTACTTTATTACATAAGATATTTTCAAAGTTCAGCATTTGTCCAGCACATGGGTAAGCCAGATTGCGCTAGGTATAAATTCTGTCCTTACTATTATTCTCAGAAAGTATACAAGAAAAATCACAACAGTCTTGTACTCACTAATTGGACAGGTGTCGAGTGGTCGCTATTGTCCTTACTTTTATTTTCTTCCTCACCGAGACTACTGGACATGGTAAGTATAGGCCACATTTGCATTCTACTAAAGGCAGTTTAATGTAAAGTAATGCTGTTATTCCAAGGTCTTGTATTGTTTCGCACATTTCAACTGTGGGACTGCAATCCTCGAATCCTCTGGCTCCTTTTTACAGGGTCAATAATAGTCAACGGTGTAACTGTAGTTTCACTTGGCACGACTTTAAAATATTTAATTGGTCAGCTTACCTTTCCCTCATACCTATTATCCTGAACCTTAAGAAGTGTGTATCCCTATTTAGATCCCGGGAAAACAAGTATTTGTGGTTTCGATATTGCAAACAGTGATTTATTCAGAGTTTGGATGTCCCAGGTAAATTATTTCAATCTAGTAATAATAAGACTAGACCATTTCTTATTAACTTTATAAATATGATTGAAGGCAGCTTTCGATATTTATGTCCTTGGCCTCATTGTCTGGAATGCAATGGACAAGCCTCGTCCAGCAAACAGAAATCTTCTGGGGATTTTATTTGAAGATGGGGTGATCCTTGTCTTTGTATGTACTTATATTATTATAGAGTTTTACATCTTAATTATTCTTATATATTCTTAGTTTTCTTGGAGTATGAGTTTTACTTTTATTAGCAACATTTCATTTTCTTATATACTGCTGAGTGTAGCTCTCCGGATTGTTAACATTGTAGCATGTATGCATAGTAGTGTGAGTTATCCTGATCTTTGACTACTACAACACACAGTGTTTTCTAACATGCCAGCTTAGGTCCTGTCACCCACCTCTACTCTGCCTTTTACCATGTCAATCATCAATATATTCAATACACATCTTCTCCTGCATACATTTTCACAAGGGCTAAAATCAACTGTACACAATACACAGCAGGTAGAGTTGTAGGAAAGGCATTGAATAGGTGGCAAACTCTAGTGCTGCCTGACCAAACAAGTAAGTTTGTCCTAATATTAATTAAGATCAGTAATTTGCTCATTCTTTGCTGCTGCCGAACCTTTTGATTAAATGAATAAAGGGTTGTTTTAATGCCTTGATGTCTCCTGTCTAGGCAAAGTTCGATTTATGTATTTCCTTTTGAAGAGGGCTCACTACTATGGAATATGTATTTATGTATTTACTATATTCTAATTCAATGCCGTCGTAAGACGACATTGTTCTACGGACCGGTATTAGTCATTCCAGAGATCCTGCAAAATCTTCCTCACTAGTCGGAAATGCTGCTTCGCGACAGAGATCAAGCATCATACTTCTTAGTTGAGGCAACACCGGACCTTGATTATGATGATGTGTATAATTATATAGCAACCTTGTTTCCCATCGGTTGCCAGCACTTATAGGCTCGCAGCGCTCGCCACGAGGTGTCATTCTGGTTCTAGGCAACCCTGCCGATGCAACAGGTCACCCTATAAAGTAATCGAATGTCCCCTTTCAGTTTATCTTCGGGTTTATTTACTAACGACGACCGGAATGCACAATGATGATCAGCTTCCTGTGTTGCTGGTGCAATGCAAATCAACGGCGACTTTTAAATTCTGTCAATGATTCTAAATTTTGATATAGACCCAGAAATACAGACTCAACCCGCCTTAACATTTATGTATTAAATGGAGAGCAACACCTTAGGTTGTCTGATCAATATCCCGCATGTCGTCCCCATTATCGACGTTTCTCCCCTCTTTGCTACATAATGTGGAAACACTATTCGCGACTAGGTATCTTGCCTGTGAGCAATTATAATCTGTTTCTCTCAGAGATTGTGGTCACTCACAACGACCTGCACCAACAGTATCCGGGTTTACTTCTCTTCTTTACGATATATGCATAACGTTCGAGGACGAGTTGTTACTTGTGTGGAATTCCAAGCTCACACTGCCAAAACTTGCATATATTGCATACCGGTACCTAATGGTGATTTCTCTTCCGTTTCTCTTATTAGGTCAGGATGTTGTACTTTCGTGCAACTCAACATATTTTAACATTTATTATCCGAATAAGAATTCCAAAGTTACTGGGAGCTATCTGCAGAATGGGTAATATAACTTTCTCTCGTATAAAATGCATTGCCTTACATCCTATTTGTAGCAAGGAAATCTCCTTAGCTGAAAAACATAGTACTCATTTATGTATAGGTGCCGCGCAGTAATAATGACTTTTGCAATTATTATATTCATCGTGGATGCTATTGGTCATGGTACTTGTCTACTTTATTTGAATTTACTTACAAGCTCACGTCAACCATAATGCTCTCTTTAGGCCTCGTAATTTTTCGAACATTCCTGCTATGGGAATACAACCCCAGAATTCTATGGCTCCTCATCATCGGCTCAATAGTCGTCAATACTGTGACTATTGCTTCACTATACACGGAAGTAAAATCCCTGAGCGGTGAGTTCCCTTCCTTCTAGTAATTTATATTCTGAGTATGTCTATTTGGCTACTCAGGGCCTGCTATGTTCTTTCCTGAACTTGGCGCGTGCCTTGTAAGTTTCACTTCTGGGGATTTCTTTAGGCTATGGATGGCACAGGTAAGCCAATTATTCATTACCATGGTATTAATTGGCGGTAGCGAATAATACAATCAAATTAAGGCGTCATTTGATATTTATGTTGTTGTCCTCGTCATCTGGAACGCAATGGCCCGCCCACGCATGAGGAATAGAGATCTTTATACTATGTTGCGTAATGATGGAGTCTTCCTTATTTTCGTAAGTTTCACCTCACACTGCTCCTCAATAATAACTCTGAGCAGAATCTCAGCTGACGTGGGGTACGAGACCTGAATTATGAGAGTGACATTCACAGTTCGTCTCATTGTAGTTCTATTATAGCACTTCGACTTCTCAATGCCATAATTAGCGCATTTCCTGATTGTGTGAGTAATATCCATCGTATTAGTTCGAGCATAACACAGTGCATAATATTCATAATGTCTGACCGTCCCAATCTAGCTTGTATCGGATCAGGTTTTAATTGAGTTTTCAGAGTCAATTATTACTGCAATAAATTCAAGGTTACTCCTACGCACGTTCGCGCGTGGGCATGTAGTAGGCACTCAAGGTGATATACAGCAACTCGAACTCGAGAGTGCTTCCCACGTGGATGTATTACCGGGAACAAAACTGTAAGATTTAGTAAAGGGATAATTTGAATAGATGGGTTTGTTCTAATGCTAATTGAATACAATAGGGTGTTCACTTCTACCTGAAACTTGTTTGAAGTCAACAAGGAGGTCAGCAGATGGCTAAGCTGGATGAATAAGTTAAACATGTTTCATTGTGTACAATCAATAACAAGTGCAACTGTACTAAACAATAAGTGATAACAGAGTTTGTACTGTACCAACATTGAATTCTTTAGAAACAGAAAGAATAGATGAAATAGATTTTGTAGAGTTTGAATAAGTTTCAGAATTTAAAATAGTAGAAATAGCTTGTTTAAGCCTGGCTTCTTTCTCTAATAGGGCTTTACCCTTAGATAAAGAAGATGATTGACTAGATCTTCTAGCTATAAGAAGTAGAAGTAAAGAAGTTAAGGGGGATCAAGAAAAGAAGAAATGATGGAGAAAGAAGAGAAGGGAAGAAAGTGTTGCTGTAATTTTTTCGGTGCGTCTTTTTCGTTGCTATAGTAACCAATTAGTACTACTATTACTAAAAAACATATACACACCTTAATTCGTATGTTTTTATAATAATAACAATTATTTTAATACTAATACTTATAATAACCATAATTTTTATAGTTGTAAATATAATAACTCAATATAAATTAAAGTAATAAATTTCAAGTTATACTTTTTGGTAAATATATACTTCTTATATCTATAATCATAAATATTAACTTTATTTAACTAATCTTATAAGTAGAATTGTGTATAAAAAATTATAAAGATAGAGATTAGTGAATTTGTATGTTCTAATCTGTTAAAATCATACTATTAGCGAGTTTTCTTATAACTTACTTAAAACTCCACAGAAACTTCTACAAAAAATAATACTAATAAAAAGCATACTAATACATATATTTACAAAATTACAGCTTAAAATAATAATAATTTGAATTAATATAGTGTATTCGTTGTGTGGGAAAGAGTCTGGTTCACTCCAAAAGTGTAATTTTTCATACCCTTCGGATTGTAAGTATAATAACTTTTTTTTAGCTAATTTTTTTGTCTCAAAATTTCAGATATATATTTATTATATGTTAAGCTACATAAATATAAAAGTTTATGAAGTTTGAGCAAAATCTGAGGGAGAAATAGTAAAAGTGTCCACATGTGGGTCTTGACCACAAGGGGCGCTGCAACAGTATTAGACAAGCCAACACAATATGTTACCTTTTATTTTTGAATCCTAGTAACTGCAAATTTACAGTGAATACAGTAATAAATATGCTAAGAGCATTTAACAATCTCAAGGACAACTCTTAAAAGAAGGCTTGAAGGTATTGAAAGTAGATCTTTAGCCTTTTCTCATCTTCAGATTTTAAAACCTTCTCAAGAGAAAGTTCTTAAAGATTGGATTAAAGCTCTTGCAAAAAGAGCTATTCCTTTATTTAAAGATCTTGTTTAACAAAAAGCAGAGTTTATTGTTAAAAAAAAGGTTAGAAAGACATAGTATAAAAAGTTTTTATCCAGAAATCCTGATCTTAAACTTCTTTAGACATCTCCTCTTGAATCTTCTAGAGCTCAAGCTTTAAATGCTTTTACTGTAAAAAGTTTTTTTGATTTATTATTTGAAACTCTTACTTCTTATTATATTAAACCTTCTAATATTTACAATATGGATAAGAAAGGAGTTCAGATAGGATTAGCTGGAAAAACAAGGGTTTTGGTTGATAGAGATCAGAAAACTGTCTCTTAGATAGAGGATAGAAACAAGGAGTTAGTTACTATTGTTGAATGTATTTGTACAAATAGTACTGTTCTTAAGCCTCTTTTTATTATGAAAGGAGCTAAAACAAGTCTATTCTAGGGAATGAATAATCCTATTCATACATAGTAAGTTTTCTTTTAATTATACTTATTAATTATAATACTAATATAATTTTAGTATTACTTCTTCTCAGAATAGATAGACTGACTAAGAGTTATGTTCCTTATAGCTTGAAAAGGTTTTTCATCCTGAAAGCTTAAGGAAATTAGAGTCTCTAGATGAGTACAGATTATTAATCCTGGATGGACATAATTTCTATTACTCTTTAAGGTTTCTTAGAATAGCTAAAGAGTATCATATTATTATTCTTTACCTTCCTCCTCATACTACTCATATACTTTAACTATGTAATATAAGAGTCTTTAGTCCTTTATTCACATTTTATAAAAAGGAAGTTATAGAATTAGTAAGACAAAATGTGTTAATTAGTAAGTATAATATTATTAAAACATATACTAATGCTAGAGAGAAAGCTTTTACTCCTAGTACTGTTTAAGCTACTTTCCTTAAATGTAGAATCTATCCTTTTAATCCTAATACAATCCCTCCCTCTACTTTTGAACCAGTTTTAGTTATAACTACTTAAGCAGTTCAGCCTGTTTGTACATCTGTACTACAGTTTATTAATATAATCCCTGTTCAAACTGGTAAGAGACTACTTTATTTTATTAGTACTAATACTAATTTACATATTAATTATGTTTTTGATAAAGTTGAAACAGAAGACTCTATCCAGTTTACTATAGTTCTACTAAATATTCTACTCTTACTATTATATTCAGCTACTAAGATTGAACTCTTTAAGTATATTTATACACTAAGAGATTTTCTTAAAAAGTGTTAAGATTAAATAGAGACTAACTATACTTAAAAAGTTTTAATAGACAAAGAGAATAGTAAACTATACTAACAGTTGTACTAAAAAAAAAAGACAAGGATAAGAGTATAAACAGTTAGTACTAGACTACTTACAGATTAAGTTCTACTTATTTAGAAACACATTCATAACTATTAAAAACTATTTAGTAATGTTTACAAAGAACTTGTTATAAAAGTAGCTGAATTTTAAAAAAGAGTAGATGAAAGGGAAAAGAGGTAACAAAGAGAGGAGAAAGAAAGGGAAAAGGAAAGAGAGAAAGAGGAAAAGTAATAAAAGAGGGAGAGGGAGAAAGAGGAGAGGGAAAGGGAGAAGGAGAGAGAGAGGGAAGAGAAGAGGAAGGAGAGGGAGAGGGAGAGGGAGAAGAGGGAGAGGGAGAAGGAGGGGGAGAAGGAAGAGAAGAGGAGAGAGAGAGAGAGGGAGAAGGTATAGTAAGTAGTAAAAATAGAGCTGAAGAAGAAAAAGAAAGCTAAAGAAAGAGTTATACTAAGTATAACTAACTTACTAAGAAAGTAACTAAAACTAAAGCTAGCTTACTATACTCTCAACTTAACTATTAATTTAGAGAGTAAGAAGGAGAATGTGTATACTAATAACTACCTACTACTCCTTCCTTAAATATAGAACTTTATTGTCTAAACAGGTCTATATAGTGTCTTAACTAATGTTTATTATTAACATTAATCTATCTCTTAGAAACAGTTAAACAAAGTGTTAGTAAGTAGTAGAATTGTGATAGTAGAAGGAGTACAAGATTGTAGTAAAGGAGGAAGAGCTAAATATAATAATAAATTAACTTCCTTTTCTTTTAATTAACTGTTTACTAATGTATAAAACTCTTTATACTGTTATAGTGTCTTATATAGTTAATTTAAGGCCATTTCTCATATTATTATCTACTACAACTGTTTTACAACATAAAAAAAATATAATTATATATTACAATATCTTATCTAAAAAACATTAGTTTTATTTTTGTAAAAAATTAAGAAATAAATATTTTATTAATTTTATAAAATAATAATTCAAAAGTTGTACTTTAATACATTAAACTTACATGTAAACACTCTATAGGAAAGAAGACTTAGACAAATCTGTACACACATAGAATTAGTATACAGACTTGACTTTAATCCTATTCAGACCAATTTACTCTTGTCTGAGTAGAGGTACAGGTAAGTAATTTATTTAATTATATACAGTTTATTTATTAACAGATTTTATACTTCTTTTTATAGGAACAGACTTGTTATAATGACTTAGAGTCTCTTACTTATGTTTTACTATCTAGTTCTTACTCTCCTCTACCTCTTATTCTCCTTCTCCTCTGCTTCCAGAATTTACTACTGTTTCTCTACTCTACTATCCTTCTCCTCCTAATATTTGAGTTATTAAGTTTATAGTAATCTCTCTCTCTTTGTATAGTTGTAAGTGTTCTGTTATCTTATGTTAAAGTTGATTACTAGAAGAAATAGTATATTTAACTTTAATAATTAATCTTTTATCTACTTCTATTAAACAGTACTAGTAAATGTTAAGAGTAATAAGTATAGAATAGGAGGTAATAACAGAAAATATGTGTTATTGTAAGTATAAATATATTTACTATAGTTAATATTGTATTAATTGCTAATATATAAAGAGGTTTTAAAAATAAGACAAAACATTATATTCTTACACAATTACTACTTTATAAATTAGTATACAGTAGTCTAAAATTATAAGAAGAAAGAGAGTGTGTAATAAATAACTTATAACAGATTGTATTTTACAAATGCTTGCTTACTAATATGAGTCAATTACTCTTTATAAACAATATTGTAACTTCTAAGATGTAGAATATTAATAGTTGGTCTAAAATATTATACTGTATAACATAAGTATTTACTATAATGTTTATACTACAATTTGTTACTCTACATTCTAACAAAGATTAACTTTATAAGTATTATATATATGTACAGAGTAAGTAAGATTATACTTCTTAAATAATATAAATAATATATACTCTCAAAAAATTGTACTATGTATTAGATTTTGATTCTAACAGGTACAAATAAACAACTTACTCCTAACTGTTTATCTAGGTATTAATAAGAGGTTTGTTAACTAACACTCTTGTGTTTTTAAACAACTCAGAATATATAGTAAGTTACTTACTACTTTAAACAATTGTATAATATTCTTTCAATTCATCTTCAGACTTCTCTATTTAAAGATAGTTATTATATACACTAATAATCAGTATCTGTGTGATTGTACAAAACTTACATTAACAGTATCTGTTGTAAGCTCCATTACTGATTTCTGATATGATACAGACTTAGTAATAAGGGTTCTAGTGTCTCTACTATATGTATTAAGCTAAAGACACTCAAGCTAAAGAGCCTCAGAGCCTCTTACTACTTCCTTACCTCCAAATTGGCTAATAACCAGTATATTGTTACTAATTGCACAGTTCCTTACATCCCCCATGTATAAGGCAGAAATACAGTTTGTAACAAAGTATTTAGCTTGTCAGTAATTACAATTTGCTTTTCTGTACAATTGTGGTCACTCACTACAATATTAACTACTGACAGTATCAGGATTCATGTCTCTTCTCTACAACATAAGTTTGACATTCAAACCAGAGCTATTACTTGTATGGAAATCAAGACACACAATACTAAAGGTTGTATACATAGCCTATTAGTACCTAATAGTGATTTCTCTTTTGCTTCTGTTATTAGGTAAGAACTTTATTACATGCTTTATGTTGTATTTTGACACTGTTTATGTTGGTGGAAGATATTCACAGTTACTGGGAGCTATCATCAGAATGGGTGAGGCAAGTTATTCTATTATTAGACACTTTGTCTTATATCCCTATTATTAGTAAAGACACTCTTCAAAGAAACCATCTTTGTACTCATATTTGTACAGGTGTTGTGTATCCATAATGATGTTGACCATTGTTATATTCATTGTGGACACGATTGGTCATAGTAATCATATACTTTGTCTGAAATCCAGTACAAGCTCATGAATATTATCATATTCTTCCTAGGTCTAGTGATTTTTCATACATTTCTGCTATGGGAGCACAAACTGGAAATTCTCCAGCTCCTCATAGCTGGCTCAGTAATAGTCAATACTGTTGCAATTGTCTCTATAGGCTAAGAGGTAAAAGGCATGGGCAGTAAGTCTCTTTGTTTGTGTACTTCTTGTAACAGGATAGAGTTTGATGTGTTTGCTCCATTATTTAGCAAATGTTGTGTATGTGCTAGTACTTGATACTTGTTTCATTACTTTCAATCCCAAGAAGTTCTTCAACTTCTGGATGGTACAGGTAATGAATATACACAATAATGCTATACTTTTAAGTTGTGGATGATGTATACTATCATTTACTTAAAGGCAGCATTTGATATTTATGTTGCTAGCCTTGTCATCTGGAATGTAATGGACTGTACACATATCAGGAATAGGAATATACTGACAATGCTCTATAAAGACAGAATCTTCCTTATTATCGTGAGTTCATCTCATAATCTCCTGCAAAAACAATTCTAAATGTGATATTGTTATCAAGTGGACATGGGGTATAATGCTTGCTTAATAAGACCGATATTTCTCCTCATTTCATCCCTTTCAGCAATCCGCGCGCTTAGTGTTATAGCATCTGCAAATGATCAGGTATTCAGTTTAATCATACTACTCGGGATCAACACACAGCACAAATTGGTAATATCCAAACTTGTCCCAACCCTAGGCTGTATCAGATCAGATATTAATCCACATTTCCGAGTCAATTATTACTGTGATAAATTCGAGACTACTCCTGTCTACATTTGCTCGTGAACAGGCGGTAAGCACTCGGAATGATACACAGTGGAGTGAACCCGAGAGTTCCTGTACAGTGGACGCTTCACAAACGATGCGAGTACAAGCTTAAGTAGCAAAATAAATGGTCGAGTAAGTTTGTCTTGTTTAACTTTGTTGGTTGATTTATTTGAAGCTGATGACAAAACACAAACACCATTACAAGGCAGGGCACGACTGGCAAGAGTAATGGGTATGAAGCGATAGGTAGTGTCAGAAGATGTTCATTGTTTCGATTGTCAATGGTTCTTGCTGTAGCTAAGATTATACAGATTGTGAATTTATAATAAATGGATGAAACAGTTTGTTAGCTTGTCTTATGCAAAGGGATTTACAGGTTTACAAAGTGAAGTACAAAAAGTCAAGAACAGAAGAAGGCAAAATGGTAAATAGTATAACTTATTATAAGCAATTTGAGGTTCAGTTCAGAATTAAGCTGGTCTCAATTCATTAGCAAGGCAGACTTGCACATTGGCATGAGATGTTTGGGGTGCAAAAAAAATGACATGTACCTTAATAGTTGCCAAATACAGACGAAATCTGTGCAAGTTTTGTGCAAGTCTGCAAGTGTGCTCTTGAGCACTTGTGAGACTTGCAGAGCTGTCGGACTTTGAAATACTATGTCATTCCTCTCATTTTCCTCTGCAAAATCAACATAAACTAAAATCTCATGACTTGTTACAAGCCTCTGCAAGTCTTTTGCAAGTCTCGTCCTCAATTATTCAGAGGCTTGCACTACTCTCGGCATCTCACTTTTTTGTGCTGCAACTCTCCTGCAAGTCTCCCTTGCCAATAATAATGAATTGAGACAGGCTTTAGTCCGACCTGAAGATATGGTGGACTTCATGACATAATCAATTCCCACAATGTCCAATCTTTCCCCCTTGTCAGTGGCCACTCCGAGTCGCTCCCACAAGCCACCAACTACTCGTCTCCAACGACGGTGACGGTTAGCTTGACGCGCAATCGACGTTGTTCTTTGACATAACCCCGGAGATGGTGCGCAGAGTGTAAGTAAGTAAGAGCAACGAAACGGAGGAGAGTGTCCGCGGTCGTGTTTCAGCGCCGCGATGGATGTACTCCTTGATCATCTCGTCTCCCTGCAGCAAATCTCTCTCTATGGCTCCGTAGTCTGGAGCTGCCCAACTCCCGACAGCCGCATCTGATGGCGCATGCGTCCCTTGTCTTACGCCTCTCGTCGTCCTTTCGCTGTCAACATGGCATTCTCGACGAAGAGCAACAACATGAAAACGGCATCGCCCCATCACCGGCGCATGCAGTGCTTAATCCTCCGCCTCCGGTTTCTTGTACTCTGCATGGGCCAAGATATCTTGTACTATGACTTGTTACTTCATGATATATCAGTGCACGGTTAACTCGGACGCACAGCGCCGCGCTCACAGTAGCGACCGTAGTTCTTCTCCACAGCATCCACTCAGCATCACTGGCTACGACTATTTGGTATCATTGCCGGCTCCTCCCCCGCCTGCGGACTGTCTCGTCCAGTGATCATCAGCTGTGCACTAGCCCCGGTTTTACCTTTAAGCTTCTATCATCGGCAAATTTTCGTCCTGTCTTCCCTCTGCCGTCCTTCTATTCTTTTCTAGCCGGGTCAGATCTTGTTAACCACCCCGCAACACGCGCATGTCCTTCCTGTATTGAGTCGCTCGACGTTCAATGGTCGTCGAGCATGTATTCGCTCAAACATCTGAACACGATCCTTGCTTAACACAACTGTCTAAAGAGCAACAAGTCGGTCTTGCGGTGCGTATTTCTTTGTCCAGCCGGTCTTTGGTTCCTAACGCTTATTCTAATACCTTCACATCATCAGTTTATCATCGTTTGTTCGTTCTTTTCGTTCTTAGCGGTTCTCACAACTTTGGTACTTTATGTGGTGCGTTCATCGCTCGTTTCTCGGATGAATCGTTCATGTTGTTTTGTAGAAGAACGTTGTACGGTCGGCGCGCTATTCTGGGTCCTTAGTGTTTCTAAAGTCTGACATTGACGCGTACTTTGTGCGTTCGGAGAAAGTAATTCTGTGTACCTGACGGTATCCTGAAACATTTTTAGCTTTCGTTGCTTGTCGCGGACATGTTGGTGGCTCTTGGCGGAATTTTCAACTTGAAATGGGTGTTTCAGGGTCGCACGACGTGCGGAGCCCTCTGTTCAGCGCAAGGTACGTTCATTCCCGTGGGGCCAACGGGTTCCTTCGTTATCTCGTTTCTACCCTCGCGAAATGAATTGACCGATGAGCTCTTACTGGTCGACAGGTGGTCTTGAGGAATTGGGAATGCCAGCCGTTGCACTGTCAACCTTGGTTCGTGAGCATGCTATTTTCTACGCCGTCCCTAATTTGTCCTGCGCAGGCCATTGCATTACACACTTTTCGTGTAATATTTTTCCATTGGTCACCACCAAGGACGCGTATAATAGCGCTTTCCACGTTGCTAGGAATATGGGCTTTCCTCGTAAGTAAGAATATAATTCAAGCATCCGGGTGATGCTAACACGTTCCTACAGATTTTGCTAGTTGTTATTCCTGCTGTTTCGGTTTCGCCCTTAGAGCCATTCTTCACACCTGCGCCAGTGTGGTGTTTCGTCGGCCTTGCTCATATTGCATTTAGAGCGGTCACGTACGTCTTTGCATGGGTTGCGGTCCTTGGTTCCAGCATCGTCTATGGACTTTTATTTCTCCGCCTGAGGGGTGCTTTATTAGGAACGTGGGAAGGTGGCGGGCTTTGTGGGAGCCTCAGTACACTCATGAGATGGAGTCGCTGTTGTCGGTCTGGAAATTTTCATTCGGACAGCAACGGGGACAGACGTGCGAGCCAAGGACGGCACGGGCCAGGGACGAGCCTGGAAAATTCTGAGTCGGAAGCCAGACTGGCATTACCATTGCGTGAGGCACACAAGATGCTTTGGTATCCACTTTGTTACATTGTATGTCAACGTTTCAGCTGTGTGTTTGCTCTTCCTCGGACTGACATAATCGTTCATTATTGTACCGTTATAGATCATCATTTTACCGCTTTCTGCGACTCGGTGGACTTCTTTTGCTTCCCACTTCTCTGATTCTAAGATCGACCATGACGTTCCGTTCGGTCTTACTGCAGCAGCAGCTTCCCTTTTCAAACTTGGCGGCCTCGTTGACGTCCTGCTCATATTTTTCACACGGCCAAATATCTTATCATTCGGCCCTACTCAAAGACAGGCAGCAAACAGGGTATCTAAGGGACTTAGAATTTTAAGGCTTGGGAGAAGAGGGAGCTCTCGGAGCGATCCCAACATTGAGTCTCCGAGAGATGGAGATGGTGGGCAAGCGGGCGCGACGAGAGGGGAGATATTCCACGAGGTGGAGCTTTCAGACGTAAGGCAATCGACCACGGAAAGGCGTTCAAGCAGAGGTCAAATTGCTGAAGTGCCACCACATGGGCCTAATGGCTCGCAGGTCAGACTCATCCAGCCGTCATCCAGCCCTACCGATACTGATTTCCCGGATGACGAACATGCTGTCGTCCGTTCCCCGGATCGTGACCTCGAACAGCGTCGACAGCTTGAATTGGATCTTACAGAGGAACTTGATTTCTATCCTGTTTCTCCATCATCGTCCGTTCTCAGTTCATCGCGGACTTCAGATTACAGTCGACGTTCGGCACGAAGTAGGGATAGACGCTCCGGAGTATTGCATCCGTTCCGTTTGCCGCAACTGGACCTGCCGGACCCGCGAATTAGTTGGTCGCCATGGGTTCCGATGCAACGTGAAGAACTTTCGCCTTCAGATGCCACGTACTTAAGAAGTTCTTCGAACAGCAATTTCCCATCCAGCACGCGAGGTGCGGGGACCGCACATGCTTCCATTGATCGCCATGACGTGGAGATTCGTCAAGAGCGATCCGCAGCATCGCCTTCCTCCGATTCTCCCGACTTGGAAGTATACCAATCTTTGGACGCTGCTACGCGTTTGCATGGCGAAGATGGCAGTTACGACAGTGCGGATAACGCACACGACAGTGAATGGCAACAAGGCTCTTCGTCTCCAGTCAGCCTCAGGGCTTCGCCATCTGAAGAGCGATCTTCTAGCCCGCTCTTTTACGGGGAAGAAGAGCTCCTCCGAGCCGCCGCTTCCGCTCAACAGCATCAAAGCCCGAGAGACCCCATGACAGCCCGCAACCGCCGGTTACGCGGACCTCGCCCAGCACCGCTCCGCACGTCGTCCTCATCATCCATTCCAGGGAGCTCGCGCTCCCGTCCTGTGCGGCCAAGAATTGGTATCCCAACGACTTCTTCAAGTACTCTATCACCATCTCCCAGGAGCAGCGCCCGATCTCCGCGCATGCGTTACCCCCATTCCGCTCTTGCATCGATCCCTGAACACCGCCTTCTTGATTATTTCTCTCCTATGAGCCCACGTTATTCGCCTTTTTCGTCGACGGCACCGCTGTCTTTACGAGGAAAAGAAACCCGGCCTCGTTCTCGTCCGCGAGCTTTCAGCGATAGCGACATTCACAGACGAAGTAGAAATAATGGTGCAGGGGAGGGGAATCATGGAAGACCCACCAGTATTTCTTCTTTCATCGATGTGCGTAGTCGTCCTTGTTTCCTGACGCTGACCTGCTACTAACTCAAGACCTTTCAGATGGATTAACAGGTGCACTCACTTGCTCGACATCGTTTCCGCGCTTTACGCTTCTTCGATTATTGTTGTGCTTGGATATTTTACTCTAACTTATTAGATTCATTCTTTGCATTGCCACTTAGATGCATTCCACGCTCATTGATTTATTTGATCGCACGTGTCTAGACCAGCATTATAAACATAATCATCCCTCGGATATCTCGCTATTCTAGACCCTCTTGCCATGACTCCACCGTTGCAATATGATACCCGCAAATTATTTTTATACAAGAACCAATAGAAAAGAAAAAACAGCGATTATACGAAAAAGGGGTGAAGAGAGTGTAATTGAAATATATATTGATGAGAGCAAGATTAAAGACAGAAGAAACATAGGACAAAGAGTCATAGTAAAGAATCTAGACGAGAGAGGACATCCAACACCGCAGCAATTAACTCGAAACATCGATCCTCACCATCGCTCACTCCAGGACCGGTGGTGTGCATCTCCCCTTTGACGGCATCAACGAGACCCAATATGCTCTCTCGCCCAGGTGTACCACTCCCTCCACTACTGCCTGTCCCAATTTTTGTCCCTTCTCGTCGACGCGCACTCGGACCTGAGCTTGATGATGATGACGATGCACCAAATGGCCAAGCAGCAAACTCGCCAAGTATATCCTCAGCACGCGAAAACGCAGCTTCACGATCCTCATACGTAAGTCTCGTGAAACAATTATCCAACACACTCGCAGCGTACGAAGCACAACATAACGCCACCGCTCTCATAGCCCTACACTGTTCACCTTCCTTCCCCAACGCAGCTGGTGGGACAGCACGTGTTTGCGCACTAAGCAAGGTCGTCACCCTCCTCACGATCCCTTCTTTCGTTCTCGCGTCTGCAACTGGATGAGTTGCCATATCGAATAACAAGAAATTTCGTTTTTCAGTGCGCAAGACGCCTTTGTCGACGAGCCCCTTCGCAAGTCGTTCGCGTACTTGTTTGAGTTGGAAGCCGATCTTCATAAGATTCCACGTCTCTCCACTGAGTAGATCTATCCAGGTATTAACGGAGATGAATTCCGGCTGGGTCGCAGCAGATGCCGTTGCCGTTGATGATGCAGGCGCAACGGAAGCAGTTTGATGTGCAGAGGTCGCAACCATCATCCGGAGCGCTTCGTCAAGAAGAGTTTCACCTGTAGGTCGTGCATCGAGGACTTCAACAACACGTTCAGACAGTGGAACTCGTTTTCGTGCGGGGTCGCGTGAGATGGCGATACGTCGTCGAAGAGCCAGTTCGATCAGTATACACCCTCGTAGCGCATACGAGATATTATCGTTCCAAAACGACAGGTAACCCTAAGCAGTAAGCGATCGATACGTGAGCACAACGACCTGACCGCAAAACGAAGCTGCACTCGCACGCACCTGTTTATCCTTGATCCCAAGCAACAAAACCTCCTCCATGATAGTCAACCTCGGCATCTTGCCTCCAGCCGACCTCGCCTCTGCATCCTCAAGCTCAAGGTCTCGCGGGTCGTACGCAACCTTGCTCCCACCTTCGAACGCTGTCCCCGCATGCACTGCACCCCCAATGCCATTTCCGTTTGGCGTCGTTGGCCCAGGACTGCTCGCTCCGCTACCATTAACGTCATTTCGGGAGGTCGATGTCGAAGACCATGCCCCACCGAACTCCTCATCCTGCGCTGAAGAAGAGGCACCCGCCGCTCGCCGGCGTTGTAATCCCGAAGAGGACATCACATACAAAGTTTGTTCTGTGTCCCAAAAACCAGCTACCTTCGTCAAATCAGCATCAGTAATCTTTCCTACGACTTGACTTATAGTAGTAATTTGTCGCTAGACATACCTTTTATACCTTCTCTGAGTTGGTAGGAAAAGAAGGAAGGGGGGAAAGGGTTGGCAAAGTGACAGGCAAATGGGCGGTGATGCTGTGGTGGACGATGCACACTTCAAGTCTCTTAACTGCGGTCCACTTACAATTGCTATATTTGGTAGTTTTCGTTCACGCACCGGTAGAAAATAAAAATAAAATACAATTCTCAGTTGCAATATTTCTATCACTCTCCACACTTGCCATATACACATGAAAGTGGGTTCATAAATTTGGGGGTTTGTGGTGGTCCACTCACTTCCTACTGAAACAATCCAAAAGGATTATGCTGGGAAATTACAGTATAAACAAGTCTTTTACTAGATATTTTATTATTTTCCAGAATTCAAACATTCTTGTTAGAGAAAAACTCCTCCCTTTCATCGATAGTGTCTAATGTATAATGTAATTTCTCTCTCTCTTTAAAGTAGTATTTTATTAGAACTAATACTATAGGTTAAGAACAGAAATTATTAATAGTATTAACATTTATCCTTATTACAGTAGTTACCGTGGGAATTTCATCCGTGGATAGTGTTATCCGTGTCGCGGAGGTCTTAACCACAACCACTCGTTATGAGCGTCAATAGCGAATGGTTCAAAGAGAATGCATACTTCAATTTGCCTGTCTTTCACTTCAGTCATGATGACACTGTCCCTATCGACGCTGCAGGCTTGGACAATGACTTTGAGCCTGTCAAAATGCCCAGTATCTCCTCTGCTGGGCTTAATTCTGACCACGTAGCAAGAATGGCTTGGGCTGCTCTCCCTCAATGGGCCTTTGAGGATCCCGAGCTTGCAGATCGACTGATGGGTGCTGCAGATAAAGCTCTTGACAACTTGCCAATTATTGACGAAGAACAATTGTGGCTGAACTTCCAACCAAAGTTCTCTCCAATTTGCGAAGTGTGGGACGGGATTCGACATCTTGTGTGGTCGAAGCAACGTAATGTGAATGATGTAAATTTCTATCCAAATGTTTCTTACAGTCACTGCTGACTGTTTTGGTGCCCCGGGCTTTAGAGTAAAGATTGGTTTAAGAATGTACTGCTTGACTCTATCTGTTACACTACGGAAAAGCTTTTCCATACCAACATTCTGGCAGAAACCCAGTTCTACCACGATAAATCGAAAGTGGATACTGCCGAGTACGTGGATATTATGATCTCTGAAGGCAACAGCCAAGCAAAACTATTCCTCGTTGAAATGAAAACAGTGCCTGTTTTGGAACAATGCATGGAAAAAGTATACACTCAAGAGATACACAACGTCAATATGACTGAAAAGGAGAACTCTCTGGATGATGTTTTTCTCAAGGTTCGCATATTCTACCCGTAGAATCAGCTAAGGGTTAACTGATTTTGAGATTTAGGCCATCTGGTATTTACTTATTTTTCGTGAGAAGTGGATTGTGCTCGGGAGTGTCAAACACTTAATTGTCCTTCGACTTCTTGAGGACCCGGTTGGCCGGCCGTGTATTGCATACACGAAAGCTATTGAGCAAGATGGGAAGTCAGACGTTTTCCGGGTTTTGCTGGGTTTAGTCCTTGTCGAATTGGGCCATGAAGAAGTACGAATGCCGGACATTAGTAAGTACTATGATGACTACATCAAAAATGTAAAAGGCAAGGAGGTCCCAAAAAGCAAGAAACGCAAACCAAGCAACCACGATGATGAGGACTATGTCGATCAGAACAACAAATCCGATGACAGTGATGGCGATGGCGGCGGTCCAAGAGCTGGCCCGAGTACCGGGTCAGATCGTGCAGGAACCAGCAGGACCACTACTAGCAGTAGTAGATATTCTAGCAAGGTCCGTGAAGGGGCAACCAAAGGAAGCTCCAGTAGCCATGGTACCAAACGCTTGTCATTGCAAACTAGTGCCCTTGAGAACTCGGTTGGCCCTTTTAGACCAAGGATTAGAGTGCCGGACTCGATGGACATAAAGAATAGCAGCTGCATTGTATGTGCTTTTTTGCATTCTCACCAAGATGCAGGTCTGACTATCTCTAGACACTTCGCGCGAGTGGGACCCTCTTTGGCTCAGAAACAATACTTGTACCTGAGCCGGGAGTGCAATTCCCTCCCTTTCCAACGTCTGAAGCCCCTGTCCTTGAAGTAGTCCAATCTATTGCACGAGGTGCAACTGGTCGCGTCTACCGGGCAAGATTGGCAACTACTAGCATTTCCCATGGCGTGAAACCAAAATTCTTCGCCCTCAAAGTTGTAGATACCTCGTGGAAAGCACAACGAGGGGAGGAGAGAAACGTTTCCCAGGACGTCTACGACGAATTTGTTAATTACTGCATTTTCCAACTGGGAAAAATCCACCTACCCAATCTACGAAGGAGGATAGAGCAATGCACAGCAACGTGCTACGGACTATATAGTATCACAGGAATTAATGCAAATTCCAATACGTTACTTCCGAAGTATGTGTTAATCACCGAGGATGCAGGAGAGGCAATCAATCTGCCGTATGGTATGATAGAGAGTCTTGAGGAGAAGTGCGTCGACTTTTACGTCTCATTGTGCATGCCAATGTAATGACTAACATCATATACAGATACGCCGTGTTGAATTCTTTTGTGTGCATTCACTCATTAGGATTTTCTCACAATGACCCTGAACCGCGGAACGTTATCTTCGACAAAACATCCAAAGAGTACAAGGTCGTTGACCTCTGCAATGGGTCGTGGCACACTACTCTCGACTGGAAGAGACACCTTTGTGACTCCATCAAAGATTGCCATGAGCTACAGTATGTGTCGAGGGAACTTGGGTTTTCTGACATAGAAGCTCTCGAACGCTTTCGAGAGAGGGTTGTAAGGAAACCAAAGGTCTGCAACCTCCGAAAGCAACTAAAGCTTATGGGTTCCCTGGAGCTGGAAAGCATTGCACCCCGTTTGCGGAACTTCACATCCGTACATAATGACTGGTATTATCAGTAGCAGCCTATGAGTATATATGTCGCAGGCAGGCACAATAAGGAAACCAAGAAAATGTGTGTAAGTTCTTGTAACGTAGCAGTTCACGTGATGCACTGATGCAGTCATCATAATTAGGGTCTAGCACGGATGGGCTGATCCATGGGAACTATACCACGGATGAAAATTTCCCACGTATACCATACCACGGATGAAATTCCCACGGATAACAGCATATCCGTGGTTTCTGTTATTTGTGTAGCAAAACAATACAACTCTTTTGTCACTGCTTGTGAATCCCTCTAATTGAACCTGAAAACACTCATTACTCAATATCTAAACTATGTCTGAGAATACCCCACCATTCATTTCAAATTCCCTATATGAAAATCACTACAATATGACCAGGGTGCCAGTCACTGCTGATGCTTCTTCTCTCACGTTCCGACTGCAGCCATCACCAGAAGCTATTTTAACTTGCCTGGCAGAAGCACCAACTGTGGTTCTATCAAAGCCAAGGAGACAGATTGGGCAGGGGAATTCTGTATATGGAATGGTAGATACTGAGGTTTGGACAATGTCAGATGCAGAGATCATCAGTGTGCATGATTTCCTTTATGTATTCTTTTGCATTCTACATGTCTTTAGATATACTTTATAATGGTGCTAATACATGTTATTAGGTGCATGTAAAGGAAATGGACATCTCCTACATATGATCACTATAATGCTTCTGTCAAA